GATAGATAGATAGATAGATAGATAGATAGATAGATAGATAGATAGATAGATAGATAGATAGATAGATAGATAGATAGATGATGGATGGAGATAGAGTATGCTTGTGTTAGCCTAATTAAAAGCCATTCCACAAACCTTTATCCATTAGCAATTATAATGAAAGGAATATGTTTTTAATCTCATAATTCATGCTGTAACTCTAAAGTGATAAATTATGTGCAAGATATTAGCAATCATTTCATGATCTAATGAGACATTTGATTTCTAGGATGTAATACATATTTCAGTGGGCAGAGCTATTTGATTAGATGATGACTTCATGGCGTTTCTCTGATATTTCCTTCATAACTTTCTATTAAACAATAGAAAGCATTCACTTTCCTCCCAATAACTAAGCAATGCAAAAAACAGCATGTCCATTTTGCATCCATAAGCATATTGTTTATAAAGCATTTTCTAAATATTAACATATTATCAATAAAAGGACAATAGCAATAGAAGAAAATTCATAGAAGAGAAACAATAATTGTCCTTGTAGAGAAAAAGGTGGGAAATTATATTGATTAAAGAACATAATATTGTTGAACAGTAATTTCAAGAAAAAAAATCAAGCAAATTTAAGAATGTGAAAATGCGGGTTGTAAAATGCATAAAACAAACTATGGAATGCTTTGTGTTTATGCTAGATTGGCTTTCATCATGTGCTGTTGAATAGGGAGCATAAGTTCTCCTCTTTCACTCCAAATGCATAATGTTTTATGTATTGTGAATTGTATATACATGAATTTTGATGCCATTATTTTTCAGGATAATATAGAAAACTGCATCAATTTTAGTTTACATTTCTATATTCAAAGAACATTTTTATTTAAAATGTGTAAAAGTGTAAATAACAGAATTAATCAGAAGAATATCTTGATTCATTCATAGAAAGCCATTTGCACTAAAATTCTAAAGTTCTTTTTTATTACATTTTTCAATCTCTAGATGTTCTCCTGGATACACCGGGAACCCAAAAATTCCTGGTGGATCTTGTCAAGAGTGTGAGTGTCATCCACATGGTTCACTGCCTGTTCCTTGTGACCCTCTCACTGGACAATGTGTGTGCAAGCCTGGATCTACTGGCTGGAAGTGTGCAGGATGTGAACCCTGGCATGCTCGTGAAGGCATAGCATGTGTTTGTATGTACATTAATGTTTATTAATAGTAGGGCTGGAAATTTGGTAGCTTGATTTATTCTTCAAGTGTAAGTTGAGATAAGTTGTTACAAAGCAGTAGACTCCTGATATGGTTTGAATATATATGAGCTTCGTTGTACTTAACTGGTCTCCCTAGTTTAATGGTTCCTAAATCACTGATTTAGGGAACACGCTGGCTCAGTGGCTAAGATGCTGAGCTTATAGATCAGAAAGGTTGGTAGCTTGGCTCTTCAACTTTGAAATGGAGATGAGTACTGCCTCCCAGAGTCGGGAACGACTAGCACATATGTGTGAAGGGAATCTTTACGTTTACCTATAAATTACTGATAACCTAAGAAGAGTCTATACATGTCAAAAATAACAATAAAAATTACATTTCTAATGGCCAAAGTCTTACAAGATTATCAAATCTTAAAAAGCATCCTGCAAGGTCTCAAATGAAAATGTGGGATTTGGTCAACTTGATTTTTTTTGCCAATTTTAATTTTATTTAATATTAAACAAACCATAATTCCCTTTTCAGTCTTTCCTATCCTGTTCTCAAATTCTTTGACAGATACTTTGCACTATTTAATGTTTATGTGCACTCTTTACCATCAAACAAATGACTAGCTGTGTTCTGTGTGGGGAAAGGGATTGTATTTATTTAAAGTCAGAAAATATTTCTTCCCAAAGAAAGTTCTTCCCAACTTTTTTCTCAAAGTTACTTTTAGACATCCTTAACTGTTGATAGTTTCTTTTCCCACTTCTTATACATTGCTTTTCTTTTAATATTGCATACGTTCTTGTAGATGTGAATTGATATACTGTTCTTCCTTTTTGCCAGCACATTATTAAATTCTTATTTAATTTCTACACTTGAGCCTATCAAAATGAAATTAAACTATATTGGATAGGCAAGAAAATGATAAGTCATAAGTGAATTTAATTCTCTTTTTTGACATATAAAATATTCTTAATCAGCTAACATGATTCCTAATTAATACAAAAGTATAGCAGAGTTGGAAGGGACCTTGGAGGTCTTCTAGTCCAACCCCCTGCCTAGGCAGGAAACCCTATACCGTTTCAGACAAATGGCTATNAGAATCTTCCTCCAGCACATAATGATTCCCCTCCCAAATACCAAGACCCCCCCTCCCCGTTTCAATGGCAGCCGAAGCAGTAGTAAAGCAGAGCTGACATCCGGCCCTCCTTCAGAAAAGGGCGGTCAGACTTGCAGAAACGAAAAGAACACAAACAAACAGACAGACAACAAGACACAAAAGAGAGAAAGGGGAAGGGGGAAAAAAACAAAAACAAAAATTAGCGGACTATCCAAGAATCAGGGCTTGTCAGGATAGGCAGAGTAGAACTTGCAGAGCAGACGAGGAGCTCGAACATGGAACTTGTCAACCCATTCAGCTTGAGGCTGACAGTATCATAGCCACCATTATTGTTGGACCTCTTCTAACAAACCACATAGGAATTCTATTATGTTTATATGTTAATGTTCAGAAAAGTAGTTTTGCAAGCAGAAAGAATTCTGCCTTCTCAAAGCTCACTCTAATTTCAAAGATATTCTGATGCATGTTTTACATTTTATATGAACTTTTGATAGGGAGCACTTGGGAGAGGAAAAAAAATAAATTTATCAACTTTGTTTTTCAATGAAGCTACTTATTTCAAATTTGCCTCTGCTGGATAAGGAATGCTGGTAATTTTAATCTGAATACATCTGGTTCTACTCTGCCTCAGATTCACTAGATTTATACAATAAAATTTAAAGGGCAACATCTATGTGTCATCTCTGTATAATAAATAAGTACAGTATTACCAGTCAAAATAAAATAACCCTGAAGATTGCAGCACAATCTGTGCTCCAGGGCTGAATATACAATATCATTTTCATACTCTAGCCAAATTAGTTTTCTGACTGTTCAGAGAGTTACTAATAAATCAGTCCAGCAATTCCAGTTTTTAAAGCAGATTGGTAATTATCCCCCACAAAATTAATACAAGACTGGCTTAATTTTGTATAATGTAATATTTAAATGTCCTGGGAATTAAATGCAGGATTTGTCTTAAGTACCCGCATTGATATTTCTATATCCTGAAATATACAGTGGAATGGAAGGGTTGAAATAAAAAGAAAAAAGGGGGAAGAACGAACTTGTGTGCTTTCCTTGCAAAGCAGCTGTTACTATTGCTGCTGTGATCAATAGTTATGCATGACATCTACTGTACGTGTGATATAAATGCATATGTTGTGTTTTATCCTCAATCGTATAATATTGGATACGGAAAATATGATTCCTATGAAGACAGAAATGAACTGGCTGCCGTATCTTTTGCCCAAATGGTCCTACATCACACTCCCTTTCCATCTAGATGATAAAGTAAACTAGAAGGAGAGAGGAAACTAACTTCCAATCCTCTTTCCAATTTGACATGAACTATTTGTAATACTTGGTTCCACTGTCAGAAAGTAAAGTAGGGACCAGGTTGTGCTAGCATACTGGAAAGCTTTTTTCTTTTCTTTTCTTTTCTTTTACTAACTTCTCACAATCTCTTGTCTTCCAAAAAATAAATTGAATTCCAAATAAAATAGGTATCCTGAAAACTGTGTTTTCTTGTAATTTCTACTGAAATAATATTTTTTTTACAATTCATGTATTTACTTGCTAGGTGGCAAAAGGTATATACTGTACATTCTTTTTACAAGCCAAAAAAGGTTTGAAAAAACAAAAGGTGAGAGCTAGTTAGCAATACTATCAAAACCTCTATCCATGATTTACTATCAGAATCTAATAGTAATTAACTGTTGATCTAGAATTTAAAAAAATCTAACAAATATTATACATTAGGAAATGAGATTTAAAACTATTACCATTCAAGGAGAAATGGTGGACCGCTTCATAGCATTTTAAAGGAAATGCAATATTTTTACTACCATGGACAGCAAAATACATAACTGAGGATCGATACTTCCAGGGAGAATGACATTATATTACTATTATTAAATTTATATACAAATATATTTAAGATCTTCTCATAGTTTCATGGTTGTTTACTTTCTAAAAGCATGTACGTTGGTCTTCTAGAAGCATTATAGGCTTTCACAAGATGCAGGTTATGTGATATCTGCCTATATTTAAGTTATTTTAAAAATAAAACAATTTAAATTGATAGCATGATTTAGAGGAGCAGAGATTTAAAGTTGTGTGAAGCTCTTCTTTGAAGCTAATGTGTCTTCAGTAAAGGAAAGAGTTAACTGTGTTATTTTTTTTAATACAAGTTTCAGTCCCTCGTGTATTGTTGAAGGAGTTAACGATTACCGATGTACAGCTTGTCCACCTGGATATGAAGGACAGTACTGTGAAAGGTAAGGTATTTAAAAGAATCAAAATGAAAGTATTTTGCAACAGGCCATTTCTAGAATCAGCAGAGGTGCAAAGATAGATGATGATGATAGATAGATAGATAGATAGATAGATAGATAGATAGATAGATAGATAGATAGATAGATAGATAGATAGATAGATAGATNATGGGCACTTCGCCTTAGCTGTTACAATATAATAAGGGTTAACCGGAGAGGCAGTTTCTGTAAGCAGGGCAATAAAGATGAGGCTAGAAACAACAACAGAGTATTTTCTTCCTGCCTTCTTTATAGGATTAGCCCTATAAAGTAGGAAAAAAGTTATATGAGATTTCTTCCAACAACTGGTTCTCCGAACTGCTTAGTAGGTTAACAACCAGTTCTCCCAAATAGGTGCTGACAGGCTGAATCCTGTATAGGTATAGGTCTGTATTCAGAGTTGGTGTGTTGTAGATTATTATGAAACAGTGGGGTCCAGTGTAGCCTGCTTGTCTGCTTTACCTCCCTGTAAAGGCCAGTTTACATCTTTAAATTTTTTAATGCTTTCCTATTTCTTCATCCGACATTCAGTTTTCAGTGTGCAACATAACATAAAAACAATCCTCATCTGGATAATGTGATTTGGTTTGTGGGTCTATTTTTAGTGAATTGACAATGTGATGATAATGAGTTTGTGAGTGATCAATCTCTTTACATTTTTTACAACTGCATAATTTTATTATTCATTCAAGCACTATTGATTTAATGCATTATAAGCAAGGTGGAAGAGGATGCTGGCTCTTAGCATAAGAAAAGGAATGCTTGTCTGTGGGTTTTGAATGCCATAGTGTTTCTTTTGTGTTAATATGGGTCAGAATTAGAATTATTTATTTGTCAATGAACAATGTATGTACAATGAGATTGGTTGAGCTCCCTCAGTGCACCCCCCCCAATACAATATAACTAACAGTGAAGACAGAAAATCCCTAACCCAATGAATCATATTAACAAACACCCAGTCCTATTGCGAACATGTGAACATGTTACACGTTGTGCCAGCCCTGCAAGTCCATCGTACTAAGTAGTTATGATATTATTTCGCATTCAGGAGTCTGACAGCCCATGGATAGAAACTGTTCTTCAGCCTGTTTGTGTGGCTGGCTATGCTTCGATATCTCCTTTCTGGTGATAGGAGGTAGTGGTGAAATTCATTTTTTTTACTACCGGTTCTGTGGGCATGGCTTGGTGGGAGTGGTGTGGCTTGGTGGACATGGCTTGGTGGTCATGGCAGGGGAAGGATACTGCAAAATCTCCATTCCCATCCCCCTCCAGGGGGAGGATACTACAAATTCTCCATTCCCATCCCACTCCAGAGGAAGGTACTGCAAAATCTCCATTCCCATCCCACTCCAGGGGAAGGATACTACAAAATCTCCATTCCCATCCCACTCCAGGGGAAGGATACTGCAAAATCTCCATTTCCATCCCACTCCAGGGGAAGGATCCTGCAAAATCTTCATTCCCGCCACACTCCAAGGGAAGGATACTGCAAAATCTCCATTCCTACCCACTCCGGGGGAAGGATACTGCAAAATTTCCATTCCCTCCTACTCCAGGGGAAGGATACTGCAAAATCTCCATTCCT